TAACTAACTAACTAACTAACTAACTAACTAACTTATCGATTATTAAATTAATCATAGACTATTTTAATAATCGATTAGTCGCATCCCTAACTCAGTTAAATATTCTGTTTATGTTTTACACAATGTCACAACTTCCTTGGAATTAAGGTTGCAATCTAACAGGCATGTTTTTGGTCTGTAGAGGACGGTGGGGCTACCAGAGAAAACCCACACGTGCACGGAGAGAACATGTAAACTCCGCACAGAAAGGCCCCAGGTGAATGTAGAACCTGTGACCTTATTGTGAGGCGACAGCAGCTCTAAACGCTGCACCGCTGTGCCRCACATTTGCTCTCCCCCATTCTCTAGGTTGTGTGTATCTTTGTATATTTTGCTGTGCATTGACCATGTGTCTGAGTTACAATTTTAGAATTTAATCTTGATTTGATGTTTTCATGACGTTGCTTATGTTTAATTATGTTTAATTCTGTTTCATGTTATCTTTCCACCACTTTTACATTGTTAATGATTGTACAGCACCTTGTGAATATACAGTATTTCAGTGAAAGGTGCTTTATTAAGCCTGCCTGCCCTGTCTGTCTGCCTGTCTGCCTGCCTGCCCTGTCCTGCCTGCCTGCCCTGCCTGTCCTGTCTGCCTGCCTGCCCTCTGTCTGTCTGTCTGTCTGTCTGTCTGTCTGTCTGTCTGTCTGTCTGTCTGTCTGTCTGTCTGTCTGCCTGCCTGCCTGCCTGCCCTGTCTGTCTGTCTGTCTGCCTGCCTGTCTGCCTGCCCTGTCTGTCTGCCTGTCTGTCTGTCTGCCTGCCTGTCTGCCTGCCTGTCCTGCCTGTCTGCCCTGTCTGTCTGTCTGCCGTATAGCTTTGTTAAACAATTAATTATTGTTTTTTTACATTTTCTGTTACTCCATCACGGACTACAACCGTGCAGATAGATAACAAATCATAGCTTTTAATGAGTTGTATAGTACACACACCTTGTTTGTCTTCACACAAGCTAAAACACCCACCAACACGCAGTCGCTTCAGTTTATTTAGCTTACTARACATGAAAACAGTCAGCCATGATGGTGTCTATCGACCCGAACAAAGTCAGAGTAAAAGCCTGGGTAACTTTACCTGAACCTGCGACGACAAGAACCGAAACCGGGCCCTTGGTTCCGGGTCTGTGATTCAATCCAGWCTTTACAACAATATAGGTCCGAAAAATTAAAAATAAACATACAAAGAGAAGAACAAGCGCAGCTTCCGCAATAAACATGATGACGTTTTAACTCATCTACAGTAGCCCCATAGGGACAAATTGTCTCCTTCGCCTTTTTGTTTTTCACGTTTCATCATAAAACTTTCATGRCAGTTGTTTTCGCAGAAAAGATGATGATAAATTTTGTTTTAAATCACATTAGAAGCTTTTATTTATGTATACCATTTAGTTGTTTTATATGTTTATGATTTCAGTGATATTTTACACCAGAACAAGACTGCAACATTAGATTGTCTCAGAGATTRGGTTAAATTAATCTGGTGTTCAAATGAGGGGGAAGCTTTAAAAAGTCACACAATACTTGTACAAAACCTGTATCCACAGTTTAACTTTCACTTCGTCACCTATCACTTATCAAATAGCCAATAAGTTTAATGATTTCTTTTTACATTTAAAGTTACACAAAACAATACTGCACCTTCTCATTCTTATTATTAATGGTATGACTTCACCTCAAAAGTAAACCACTGTCCTAATGTTTCTCACAAAGTATTTAAAAATATCCTAACAACATGTGCACTGTTCGTCACTGTTCTGTTTGGTCAGGATGGTTTACATGCATGTGAGCAGTGGAGTTGAAACATAATTTATGAGCTCTGCCACATGTGTGAGACAGACAGGGATAGATTATAGGGTTAAGGCAGAGAGGCAGGATGGAGAGTCTGGGAAGTGACAGAAAAGAAAAGAAAAGAAAAGAAAAGAAAAGAAACCCAGCTGATTGGGAGAACATGATGTTACAGTCTTATGTGCAGTAGGTGGCAGTAAGGCCCTGATGGTTGCAGTCGTTGCAAATATTCATGTTTTAGGAGTCATGTAAAACAGCAGAGATAGAATACAGGTGAAACAAGTGAAGGTCCATTGTGAGACATTTGAAACATATGTCTCATTAGTTCATCTCTGACATTCGAATGAATGAGTGATCAACAGGCTTCTATTTGAAGAGCAGGAACTAAAACAATCAGGACAGTGACAATAGATGCATGGATGATTTTAAAGTAGTGTTCTCAATGAAAACCACTATAGAGCACTGCAGAGATAAAAAAAATCTAATTTAAAACAAATAAATAAGCATTTAGAATTGTGTTCACACACATTGAACACATTTGTATTTTGTAATTATCAGCATCTTCTGATCATTTACGTCTGAGCAGTTTTAGTTTTTTTCTGTCCCACTGCCTACTTGATCTGTAATTGTGGGTTTTACCCAGTGATGGACATACAGAAGTTTTACAGCTCATACAGTATTTTGAAAGCAGTTGAGGATTAAATTGCTCTGCAGCGCTCCCTGCTGGCAGATAATATTAAAGCAGAAAATGAGTCGTGTTTTCTTATTGAACAGTGTGAACAATTTTTTAATTCTTGACAGTTTATGAGGAATTAGAACAATACAATACGTTTCATCTTTAATAAATATGCAATTCGTAAATAAAAGTTAGATGGGTGAACAAATAATTTTAAACTTATCACACTGAAAAGAAAAACAGTTAGTAAATTCTTTTATAGACTGTTTTCCATGCCTTGTTCTAATTGAAGACTCAAAATAATATTCCTCAGACCTATATTCAGCTAAAATGTTTGTTTTGACATAAAGATTTATTCATTTGAATATCAGCTCCAGGCTTTTCACCAGGAAACACTCAGTAAATAAATCAACGAGATATAAAGGAATAAGTCGGAGCTAATACGTATATAATATAATATAATATAATATAATAT